TGGGGATGAAGCATAGAAGCATTCTGACCATTACCAATTTGTCATCTTAATCCCATCTCTAATAACTGCCGACCATAGAGGATACTCTGCCAAACCCATGATGGACGAGAGCGAGCCGTGGCATTGAGGAAGGTACCAGTCGGAAAATATTTCCTTTATAAACCTGGGCTAAGAGTGTCTGAGGTTCATTAAGGATACACCATTCAATTTTGGCTAAAAGAGTCTGATTAAAATGTTCAAATCAACAAAATCTCATACCCCCATCATGCTTACTCCATCACATATTGCGCTTGTATATCCACCGAATCCTCGACTGGCCCTCTTCAACACCCCACCAGAATCTTGCCACATGTTTGTCCAAGAGACGATATAGAAAAAGAGGTACACTTGAAACATGACATAACATGCAACGGCAAAGCTAAAGCAACTGATTTAATCAAAGTGTCCTTAGCTGTCCAAGATAATGTCCTATGCTTCCAGCCCTGGAGTCGCTCTAGCAACTTCTCCTCCAAATATCGGAAAGTAGCCATTTTAGATTGGGCAATCAGCAGAGGTAACCCCAGATATTTATCATGGACCCCTACCTCCCCCACACCCAGAATTTGAGCCAAGAAATCTTGGTCCGGCAGAGCAATATTCTTACTAAAGCAAACTGCCAATTTAGCCAAGTTTACCCTCTGCCACTAAGCTCCTCATACTCATTCAAAATCTCGATCAAATTCTCACATTCCTGGATGGAGCCTCTGAGGAATAAATAAGAATCATCGACAAAAAACAGATGCGAGATCCGGGGAGCTCGAGGAGCCACTTTAACTCCTTCAAGTTTGCGTTCCGAAATGGCTTTTTTAAGGAGCGTCGCAAAGTCCCTTGGAAGGTGCGAAGTAACCGATGGGGTTCCATTCATGAGAACCGAAAACGATGTTGATTTGAGGCATTCATGTATCCATCCTCTCCCGATGGAGTTCAAACCCATCTTACTCAATACTGCAAGAATAAATGGCTATTCGACTCTACCATAGGTCTTTTCCATGTCAACCTTTCGAGCCATGTACCCTTTCTTACCACGCGTTTTGATTTTTAAGTAGTGCATTAAATCATGTCCAATGAGGATATTCTCCACTATTTGTCGTTCACGGATATAAGCATTTTGACCTTCCGAGATGATTTGTGGTAAGAGACAGGCAAGTCGTTCTACCATGATTTTGGTTATAATTTCATACACAAACTGGCATAAGCTGATTGGACAAAGCTATCTCATTGTTTCCACATTATCCATTTTAGGTATCAACGTCAGCCAAGTATGATTGAAGCTATGGAGCATCTTACTCGTTGTAAAGAATGAGCAGACAACATCAATCAAGGAGTTGCCAAAAATATCCTAGAAGGCCTTGAAAAATTTGCCAGTAAACCCATCAGAAGCGGGTGTCTGCTTCGAACCCATGGAGAAAACGGTTTTCCTCACTTCACAAGGAAGGACTTCAACCGTAAGACTGACATTCATTTCTGGTGTAACACTGGGCTATGGGAAGAGCAGCCACCCTATCGACCATGTTCAATACCTAATTCTCCGAGTGAAAAGAGTCTAATAAAAATTACTGGCAATGTCTGCCTTCCCATTCTCCTCAGTGAACCATTCCCTACTGTCTTTACGAAGGCCGGACACGAAGTTTCGTTTTCTCCTAGTCCTCTTAATCGTATGGAAATATGATGTATTTTTTATCTCATTTCTTAAAACATCAGACTCTAGATTTTTGCTGTCAATAAGCTTCCTCAGCCTCCCATTGGCAATTTAACTCCATTTCCAGGTTCCGGACCTCATCCCATGAAATAGGATGGATTAATTTTATCCGTACAATTTCGGCTTGGAGAGGTTTAATATTGTGAAGGGAATTCGTAGTACCCGTCCTACTCCAGTCATAGAGCAAATGGTGAAGCTTCTTAAGACGTTCCCAAAGTTGAAACATAGAAGTACATAGAATTTCCTCCTACCTTACGTAGTTCACCATCGCCTTGACCTCCGGTTTATCAGCCCAGCGAGCATCAAATCGGAAGAGGAACTGACTATTCCGGGTATAGGGCTTGTCGGAGAGGAGCACAAAGCTCTGTCCAGTCTCTCACGAATACAAGCCACACCCATCTTCCTGTTCGACTAGGTGAATTGATCATCCTGGTAACCAGGGTCATAGAGATCCAGGTCCTGAATAAAATCACGCAGGCTAAGAGATTGAGCAACATTCCACGAATTTCCTCCATCTTTTTCACTCTGGTTGGATGGCATCATAGATTTCCCATAGTTGAGCCAATTGGGCTGCTCTTATTGCGACATTACAACTAATGTAAATAGAAATTACAACATAAGAAAAATCCACTTCATTAATTTGGGCACAAATAGAGAAGTTGGAATGAAAAATTACCGAAACCTAAACTTTGGGGGACCAAGCTACCACTAGACCTCCTGATGCGTCAATCGCATCAACAAAAAAACAACGAGAAAGATCAAATCCAAAGCCCCGCATACGACGGAAAACTACTCGCCAAATCGATCGTGTTTCAGAAAAAAACAAGAGATCCGGTTTATTAGAATGAACTAAATCGACAGCAGTTTGGAATGTGAGGGATGGTCCAATTTCTCTTACATTCCATGCCAGTAGTTTCATTTATCGTTCTGGGGCCATTTTTGTATGACTTCCTCCACCACATCCTGCTTATTCTCTTCTTCTTCCTCTGCAAAGTGCTTCTTCGGATTGGGATTATCCTCCAGCTCCCCATCCATCTAGCGCAAAGTGCGCTTCTTCCCTCCAATTCCTGGGATAGTAGCATTGGATCCATATTCATTCAGTTGGAGGATCACCCCGGCTTCATTTTGCTTGTTGATACCATCAGCATCCACAGAGTGTCCCATAACTCCAGCTTCAGAGGCTAGAACCACCTGGCGAACATGTCCAGCCGACCAAGCCTTGGACGGAGCACTACTTTTAATTTCAAACTGGTTCTTCTCTCCATCTGATAACTATTCATCAGAATCATCAGCCTACTTTGCTTCAATTTGAACCACCACTCGAGCGTGCTCAAGAGAGGGTGTCGGGTGAGGTAGGGATGGCCAGTGCTCCTCCGATTCCTTGAGGTCCGGTTCCCACTCCTCCGAGTTTGACGTTTCAGCTATCATTTTCCCCTTCAGGCTTCGGTCTGCCTGCTGCCGAGGGGGTAAAACCAACTCATCTTTAGATTTATACTTGGGATCCTCCGATTTCTTCTTGAGTCGTCAACCTCTGGTCGTGGAAACCCCAGCTGGTTTGGACGACTTCCCTCCCACCAGCTTGGGGGTTGGGGCCTAACTTCCTGATCCCACGTCCCGAGCCATGTGCTGATGCACAACACTTATGTGCTCTGCGAACAGCCGAAAGTCTGCCACAATCCAATCCTCGTATGACTCCTCCATCACCAGCTTGCGATGATGGGGCGGCAACCGCTTCAAATGAACTGCTTGTTCACCACCTCGTTCCCTCTCCGTAGGCCGCAAATGTTCTTGTCCCAAAGTAGCCACCATTAAATTTTATTTACCACAATATGGATGAACTACAAATCTATGGGTTTGTGTTTCCACTTCTCACAATCCGAATAATTGCCCTAATAAGCTTTGCAAATCGGTGATTAGTCAACACGTCAACGGGCCGCCTGTTCCCTCCGGGCTTCCTCGCCACAACCATCTAACGTAACCAGGGCCGTCCCATTATATTCGGAGGCCCTGTTCGACAATTTAAAATGTGGCCCAAAATTTATTCTCTAAATTTATTAAAAATAATAATTATTAAATACTAATAATAAAATTACATAAATTCATAAAATGATTACAAAAATAAGAATATTATCTATCATTGTTCAAAAGTAACAATCATATAGTATTTTTTTTTAAATGTAATCCTCTATTAGCCCGTCCATCTTCTCTATATCTTTTGAAAAACGAAATCAATCTATCTATTTCCAAAATAGCATTATCAATAAGCATATATTTGGATTGTAAATATTTAATAACTGAATTTGTTGAGTGCAACATTTCATACCAAATAACTAATGAAACAATAAACTCAACACCATTGAAGTTCATTTTGTGTCAAAGATTGAACTTCACTTTCAATTTTTGAATCGCCATCAAGATTGGCTAGTAGTATTCAGGCTCCTCAATTTTTCTGTTTTCTTTTACGCTTAGAACTACCTTTTTTCAAGTTTTTGGATTCACATAATTGAAAATTATAACCAAAGATCAATGATTCCAAATTTTCAATCAAGATTAAGTTCCCTGCAAAAGAAAAAAAATTATTATAACTTAAAACAAGTTTATTAGGAGTCTGGATAGTAGGGATGGACATTGATTAGGAGTTAATTAGAATTTGGTGTGAATAATTAATATTTAGGCGTTGGATGGTATTAGAAAATTGAGAAATTTTGGGGAAGAGGATAAGAGAGCTGTTAAATACTTTAGTTGTTAGTATAAATTCATAAAGCCAGTTCCAGCTCAGTGGTTCGAACTCCTTTTTAAGGAAAAGGAGGTTCAAGGTTCGATTCCTGTCTCTGTTGGTTCTCCCTGGTATTGTAAATGTGGTTTTCGTGATGGGCCTGATGAGTTGCCTCTGGGAGGGCTTATGTTGGGCTCGCAAACTCCGCCCCGCCTATGAGGCCCATGTTGGCTCTAGCTCCGCCTTTGGGCCTCTCCTATGGGAGGGCTTATGTTGGGCTCGCAACTCCGCCCCGCCTATAAGGCCCAGGTTGGCTCTAGTTCCGCCTCCAGACTGAGGCCCCAAGATATTGAGGCCCTGTGCTGTGGGTCAGACCAGCACAGGGTCTGGGCCGGGCCTGAACGTAACCGAATCCTAAGAACGCCGCCCAGGTTCCACTCTTTATCAACGGATAAAAAGGAAAAAAACAGCCCCTAACTTGAATTCCCCATTCTGCCCTCGCCAGCCCTTAACCCCACGCCTCTCTCTCTCATATATTACGTTCCTCTCTGTCTTGCTTGTTGTCTCTCTGTCAATTAGTTCGCCGACTTCTCTTTCTTCTTCTTCTTTCATCCATTTGTGGCTTCAGTTCTCCTCACGGGTACCGAAAAAGAACCGCAATCCGAATCCCTCACTCTTTCTCCGCCTGGTCAATCAGCTACGCCGGCCGCCGGGATCGCCACCGGAGCCGATCTCGACTTTCGTGAGTTCGTTTTAGATTCTGGTCAGCTCTAGTTCCGATTATCGGGAAACCGGAAACGCAGCCCCTCCTTATGGAACGGATCGTCGGAGGGAAGTACAAGCTAGGTCGGAAGATCGGCAGCGGATCTTTTGGTGAAATATTTCTCGGTTAGTCCTTCCTCCTCTCTGTCGTCCAATTGAGCGTAATCCGTACTGCGCCTGCTTCTGTTAGTTGTGTGGTTTGGTTCGTTTCCTAGCTGATTTTCCCCGTGTTTTGGCTTTGCAGCTACTCACATCGACACGTTTGAGATCGTAGCTGTGAAGATTGTAAGTTCTTCCCCTTCCTTGGCGATCGTGTTGCTTAACCATCTCTTGCGTGTGGGGTAGTGCATGTAGTTAGATGAATGTGGATGAGGAAACGGGAATTTGAACTTCGTTTTGGGTTTGAATTGCGGCGGTTGTTGTAATTGGACCAGTTCCAATTCTGCTGCTGAAACTGTAGAGCTCTTATTGTTCACTTTTTTTCTGTTCTTCTCAGGAGAATAGTAAAACGAAGCATCCGCAGTTGCTCTACGAGGCCAAGCTGTATAATATTCTTCAAGGAGGAAGTATGAGAAACACTCTTTCTGCACAATATGATATATGGAAGCGGCTTTAATTTTTCGAACTTTGGGGCTTGCAACTTCGATGTGACATTGGAATTGCGTGTTGTTGCAGGCGGCATTCCCAGCATAAAGTGGTCTGGCTTGGATGGGGAGGACAATGTGCTAGTGCTTGATTTGCTCGGGCCAAGCCTTGAGGACCTCTTTGTCTACTGCGGGAGGAAGTTCTCGCTAAAGACTGTGTTAATGTTGGCTGAGCAAATGGTAAACTTGGTTCCATCTTGTTCGTTGTTGGTTCTCGATTTTTTCTTCTTTTGTATGGAGTTCTCTTGTTCCCTTCTTCCTTCTCCTTTCTGTTCACGTACAAATGGTGGTGAATGATGTGTATGCATCATCAACCCGCATTTGAGATGGTTTATGCCTATTCGTCATTCTATGTTTTGTTGATTTTGCCCCTGTTTGCGGGCAGTTTCTGTAGACTCTTGGGTTATTCTATGTATGTGGTACAGTTTGAGTCACAAATGTACTTAGTTTTTATATCCGTCCTGGTATTTGCAGATTACAAGGATTGAATATGTACATTCGAAAGGTTTTCTGCACAGAGACATTAAACCTGATAACTTCCTCATGGGTCTTGGTCGTAAAGCAAACCAGGTGATGAACTTCGAAAATCATACGCTGTTGAAATTTTTTCTCTAGTGGCAAAGTCATAACTGTTTATGCTCATATACTATCCACCAGGTCTATATAATTGATTTTGGGCTTGCAAAAAGATATAGAGACGCGGTATCAAATCGCCATATTCCTTACAGGTGATTCTTTCTTGATTTGTTTCATCTCCTTCTTGCCAAGTTAATTTGTTGAAATCTTATTTGTACCCCTGGCATGATTTTGACGTTTTAAATTGACTTAACACTTTTGACTGATACTACTAAATTGGATTTTGGTGACTTGGTTCCCTCACTCATATTTTGCTATCAACCATGTTACTGTGCAGAGAGAACAAGAACTTGACAGGAACTGCTCGCTATGCAAGTTGCAATACTCATCTTGGCATTGGTACGGCTGATGGGTGAAGTATTTTTACAGTGTAATATGGATCGGAATAACGTTTTTATATATATGATGTTATGTACTTATGAGGTCTCCTACCTCCAATAGCTTGAGCTTACATGTCTGCTCCTGCATTTGCTGGTGTACAGAGCAAAGCCGGCGTGATGATTTGGAGTCACTTGGCTATGTGTTGCTATATTTTTTGAGAGGAAGGTATGGTTTCTGGACGACTTGGTGCTTTTATTTCACAATAAGAAAAGTTTTCCCGACTCATAGAACAGTTGTGTTTAACATTGTTGAACTCAATTGACGCGTGCATTCTTAACTTTACTTGTTTGTTGCCAGCCTTCCATGGCAGGGTTTGAAAGCGGCTACGAAGAAGCAGAAGTACGACAAGATATGTGAAAAGAAACTATCTACTCCGATAGAGGTGCGTGGTTAACTTGTGGTACTTATTCAAAGTTTAGGTGTTGAAATAGACTGTAAACTCAATATATACTTATTTCCAGGTTCTATGCAAATCTCACCCGGTGGAGTTTGCTTCATACATGCATTACTGCCATTCGCTGACATTTGATCAACGGCCTGATTATGGATTCTTGAAGCGCCTGTTTCGTGATCTATTCGTACGTGAAGGTATGTTTTTACCAACTCTAGTTATTGATTTTACTATAGATTTTTAGTTTACATAGTATATATGGTAAGTTCTAATGAGTTTATGTGCAATGCAGCCGTCTTTGCTTAATTTTGTGTAATCTATTGTCTGTTGATGCAGGATATGAGTTTGATTATGTATTCGATTGGACCATTATAAAGTACCAGCAGGCACAGAAGAACCGATCTCAGCCTCGATTACCGGTTAGTAGCTGTCAGTCAGTTTCATAAGTTGTGAATGAGGTTTCATTAAATAACTGTTCAGGCGAAGAGGCAGCTATCATCTTTTGTTCCTCTTGTTTTCCTTTCACCTTGACTAATGCTTGTCTTTGATACTGAAACATGCACTTGGTGATGCTACAGCAAGTAACTGGAACAAGTGGCAGCCATGCAGTTCAAAGAGAAAATGCAAATCAACAAGGTTAGAGATGTGGATCTGTGAAAATTAAATCACATGCACTCCATGTTAGTTATTACGCTGTATGAAATGCAAATATCTTCTGTACGTTATCATCAATCTGTTTGTTGCCCGCCACGAGTTCTACCGATTATTAGATAAAAACATTTTCAAAGCAGAGACATACTGATTCTTTTTCAGGAGAGTATTTATGGTCGTGTTTCTGCAATTGAGATATTGTTGTGGTTTCATTCTCATTAGCAGTAACATTCGAGTGCAGGAAGTAGTAATGCCGCGTATGCTTCCGAGGTTGTACAATCTATGGGTCCTGGCATTCATATGCAATTGAAATCCTCAACTGGCAAGAATGTGGTTTCTGATAATCATGCTGACAGGAATGTAAGTTCTCACATCATGGACAGCATTTATAGTGTTATGACCTAATTTTTTACTTTTATTTTTGAAAGGTTATGTTGTCTTCTTTTATTTACTCGTTTGCAATTGCGGTGAATTACTAAAGTTACTTATTTACAATGTACCTTGTTAACTAAGCATGAGATGCAAGGTTAGCTTTCGCAACTTATTGAAGTGGGTACTACAAGTAGGTATACAATGTTAATTAAGAAACACATTGTGTGAAACTGATATTGCATGAGATATTTTTTTTTTAGATAAGGGACATTGCATGAGATATTATGAAGACCTTTTCATTGGTCTTTTGTCACATATTTAAGTGAGACTTTGTTTGATGCATGGGAGGTTCAGCATCTGTGTAATTTGGCATCCGGTAGCTTCCCTTTGTCAGTTGATCAGCCAATATTGCTTCTTGTAGGTTGTAAGTGATGCACATATGCCTTCTAGTTCATTTTCATATGCTGCGACTTCAAGAAGAAATGCTGCAAAACCAGGCGCCTTGCCAACTGAAGCAACAAGTGGCCATGGACATCCTAGCAAGGTCGCTCCGTCTGGCAGCTGGATCTCATCATTGCAGCGCATTCATTCTGCCAAATGATCTGGATGGTAGCTTCTGTTGTCCCTGTGGCATACTCTCTAGTAGTTGATTTTTTGTTTTGTTGATAAATCACCTACTAGTTAGAATAGTGTTTATTTGCCAATTGATTCTTAGAAGATGGTCATTAATGAAATGTTTATATTTGTTCTGTGGTTAGCCGAGGATGTTGTGAAAGGAGGTTATAATGATACATCAGTTGGAGGCTGAAAAGAAGTTGGCGATCTGGTATCATGCTTTCAGCTATGTATGTACTCGAGATGCAGATGCTTGCAATCCAATTTGCTTTGTTCTTGTTGAAAGTGGATCTCAGTATTTGTTCTTTAAGGTTTGTTATAAATCACCAACTACCCCAGGCTTGGTTGTGCTGTACATAGTTGCTTTAAATTACTCATACAAACATTGTATTTCTGATTTCATGTAAGTGGAATGAAATGTGAGGCTTTTAGCACAAGACAGTTGCCTTTTAAATAGTTGTTCTTGACAGCATTCCTGATCTCTCAGTTCAATAGTTCCGAGTTCATTGGTTCTTCATGGATGCTCATCCTTGATACACATTGTTTTGTTTATATCTGAGTTTATGTGTGCCATAGTTAGTTTGAAAAGGTGCACCATTGTTCATAAACAAGGTGGGAGATGATGGACCTTTTTGTAGCATATTTCCCCTCAGTTGTAGGCCAGTTTGACCTTTGATCAGGTAATATAGAGTCTTTTTCGTATAATTGCACATTTGCAAACTTGCACGATGTTTTCATAAGTGATGGGTGAACATATCTTCATTGTTGGGCATGTCTTTAGTGTTTGAAGTCGTCTTGATAAAAGAGTTATATATGGGTTTCTGGGACACTATTTAGTTTATTTTTCAGCATTGCTCATGCTGACCATTTATCCAGTGGCATATCCAAACTAATTTGTTATTGTTTTTCTGGGTAACTAAAGCCAGATTTTTGGCAACTCTTCTATGTTGTTTTATTCTTCTGGTGGCATTTATAATGAACTTTTTTAACCCGCTGTCACACATTGAGGAAATTTTTTGTTCATTGATTTATGTATAATAATTATGAAATACTTTAGCTTGATATAAACATTTGCGGGTTCTAGATCAAATACTGTTTCCAAAGTTGCTGGAGCTCTTAAAGGCATTTGATACAGTTCTTTGTAAAGTGCATTCTGGGTTCAAGGGCCAGTATCATGCATAAGTATCCTCGAATATCAATTGACATTATCCGACTTGCAGGGTTTTTTGTAGCCTGAAATATTCCACAGAAGTTATCAATTGGGAACCATTCTCGGGATGGAGTCTTAGGACTATGGAGGATCTGACGCATGATACTCGTGAGCTGATTTAGTGACTGCAAACTGCCATGTAATGAAATGAGGTTGTAATTCGAAGTCATGGATGCTGGTGTCGCTGCAGGTGCAGATATCTGCCATGACTCCTGCTTGGTTCCCCAGTTGCAGGTTTGATCCAAGTAAGAAACTGAAACTGGCCGCTCCTTTTTGTTGGTAGTACTAAGCATGGGTACAGCCGATCACAAGATGGTGTACTACTTCTGAAGTTGTGTTGTGTTGAGATGAGAAGGCTGAGCAGTTTTAGCTTACTCTCACCGAGCTGTTGGTAATGGATAACAGATAACAGAGATATGTTGTAGCCAGCATATGTAGGAATCATTTGGTAATGGTTGGAAGACATTTTTGGTACAAGGGCAACCTATATCTTGCTTTTGCCAAAATTGTTGATATTGAGTACCTTGTTCGACAAGAGTCCGGAGGTGAAGGAAGCGTGTAGATATCTCAGGAATGTAGAACCTCTCTGGGGACTGCTAAAATTCTGTTTAGTATTTGGCTCATGCTCTGAGAGCTGGGGCATGATGTCCAAATTTACTTCTCATATTTGAGGCGGTCGCTATGGTGATGGCAATTCCAAAGCGGCAGGTGAACTTTCTTCTCCAATCCGCGAGATCTAGTTTCAGGTTGTGGTAATAGCTGATGAGAAATCAGTTGGACAAGAGCAAAGAAAAGAAAGCTTTTGGATGTATATAAACGGTTGCAGCAGGGTGTGGAAATTCCGAAATTGTGTCGGGAAGCAAAGATGGAGGGTACAGTGTGGTAAACCAGAATGACAAGGATGAGATGCGAGGCTGGTGGTATAGAGCAATCACATGATGGTACAGATGGTACCTGTTACTGAATTCTTCGTATGCTGGGAGGTCGGTTCATCTGGATTGCGTGTTATTCAGTTTCATTGTGCCGAAGCGGTGCTGAGACTGCGTCCAGGTTTGTTCCGTAGGTATAACCGTTTATTCTCTCCATGGAACTATGCTCCACGGCTTGCAGCTCTCATATTTTCCCTCCATAAGCAATTGTTTCTCTACTTGAATAGTATGACAGTGAAAATGGATTATTTCATGATAATATCAACTTATGAAACGCCATAACTTTAACAGTGGATTTGGTTCTCCTAAGTTGACGCTTTCCTTGCGTGTATTGTTAGGGTTCGTGGAAATGGATTGAATCTCAAATCTTATACTCAGAAGATAAGCTGATCAACCATCATGTTACACCCCTGTGGTTCTTAGTTGAGGTTCTTTTCTCATACACCAACAAACACCCGGCGAAAGGAAATGATCAATTTCTTCATCGCGAGTTGAGTTCTTGCCTCGTACACCAACAAACCAGGACGAAAAGAAATGTTCAATTTATTCATCGCGCTCTTTGTTATTGTTTATCTCGAGCTTGGGTACTTGGAATGGAAGAGCAGCAAGGCTATCTGTAGACAGTTCTGAAGAAATCCATGGTTCAATACAAACGTCCATTGATAAGGCTACTTTTTGGCTTTGAAATGCTCCACTTGAGATTTGCTATTATGAACTGTGAAGTAACAATCAAAATAGACAACGAAGAACCTGGACACTGAAGGTTCGTTTTGTATCAAAGAATCGAGTGAGAGGCTGTGTTTAAGTTCAATCAAGAAAAAATTAACTTCCGTAGAGGGCAAAGTTGTCTAAGAAGAAAAATGATAACCCTATTTTATTTTGTACCGAAACTAAGCCATTGCGGACGGTTAAGGTTACGATCTACCACCGTTGAGGTTACTAACCGCACCGGAGCCACCGCCCAGGTATATCGATGGCCGGTAATGTCGAGAAAATGGTGGCCGCACCGAAATCGACAGCGATCCATCAGAAGCTCGTCTCTTGGCTCGGAACCGCAATTAGCCTTCTGCTGTTCTGGCAGTACTCGATCCCTTTCTTGATCAACCTCTCGGCGTCCGCCTCCTTCTTCGCTCTCCTGAGCGACGCCCCAATTTCGCTCGCCGTCCCTGTCACCAACGCCACGACTTTCGCTGCCACGGCCGTATGATGATAGGGGAAGAAACTCGAATTGGGTTTGCTTTGATCGGTACGGGTTTCATTGCGATTGGAGTTTGGCTTTGTATCGCCTAATTTTTGTAGTAGAAGGTCAGGTTGATGATGCGAATTTCTGGACATACTCTCTGGAATTCGACCCATTTCTGGTCTCAGTATTGAGTTTCTTATTGGGATTGAATGAACTTGTCACTGTGGTTCATTGGGTTTATTAGATCCTATTTACTCCTGCTCGGTTGAATGTGAGAACTTAGTCTCGATTACATTCGACATTTCGAATGAGGTATTGAAAGGGGCAGTTGAATTTGCAACTTTCTTTCAGTTGCAGAAGTATAAAATGTTACATCTTTGAACTCAGTATTCGCACTCCGTTGGAGCAACGGAGGGAGAATGCAGCAAGACTCAGGTTGACACGGAGGAAAAATAATGAAAGCAATTTGATATGGAACCCCAAAAGACATGAAAGCAAAAATTTATTTGTTCCGTTGGAACGTGGTTGATCGTGTTAGAAATGGTAGGTCAGAACTGTGGTTTGAAGCATTCAGGTGGCATATTGCCGTTGAATCTCTTGAAATCGTTGCAGTAGTTGTAGATCATGTGATTATCTCTCACCCACTTCATCTGGCCTTGCTTGGCAGAGCTCAGCTGTTTGTATGCAGGAGATGTCCACCAGTTAGCTGGGCTACTGACAGCACACTGGGTGATGCTGGGAGGTCCATTCCACTTGCAAGCCCTAGCTCTGAAATTGCGGTACCTGGCTATGAAGGGAGCTGAGTTCCAGTCGATCTTCTCCAAGCCTCCTCTGGTTGCCCAGTTATCAGCATTCCAGAGACTAGAGTAAACCCTCATCCCTTGTTTGTTTGGGAAAGGAACCCCCTGGCTCTCGTAGTTGCGGTAAACTCTGATTGGCACACTGTCAACATACCACCTGCATAATTGCATAGATAATAAGGTGGTCAGGACACAATTGATCATATTATATATCAGACTTAATAGTATAGGCTGATCGATCGTTTGTAAACTATCCGAATAACTTACACAATAGCGGTAGGGTTCCAGTGAATGGTGTAGTTGTGGTAGTCAGCAGTTGGATCAAACCAAGGGTAGAACTGCTGTTCCCTGCTTCCATTTCCTTGTACGTAGACGTTAGTGTGGATGATGTAGGGTTTCCCAGACACATTTCCAAGGAACTCAAAGTCGATCTCATCGTGTCTATCCCCAGTGGAAGATACCTGTTGTATGTAGTTGATTAGATAAGAATGAATATGACAACAGACAACTAGCTTGGTTAATATTTTACTTTCTCGGCATTTTAACTTACGTAATAAGCAGTAACTGTTCCTGCAGAGTTCCCAGGCACCAACTTGATCAACATCTCAATGCTGCCAAACAAGAATGCCCGTTTCGACTGAATTGCAGAGCCTGAGGATTAAAAAATGATTGGTAATCAAGTGAGCCGCTATATATCTAAGGCGATCAACTCTATTCGGAGCCTGAAGATTTGAGATTTATGCAAACAAGTTACCTGATGTTTTATCCAATACCAGCTGGAGTTCCTCGCCGTTTCCTGATACTGAGGCATGGTGAGCGCCCCAAGTGAAGTAGGTGCTTTTGGAGAACTTAGCATCAACGGAGGTTGGATGGAATGCTACTATTGCAAGCACAGACAGAGCTACAAGTAGAGGGTGACTAAAACTTGCCATTTTCAACTCCAGAAGCCACAAGGTTTCTGCTAGCTGCTAGCTCCTGTTTTTCTCAGTTGAAATAATAATGGGGTTGGATCGATGCTTTTCCTCGACTATTGTGGATGGCTTTTATAGGATCTTATCAATGAGGTTGTCTACTTTTAATATTCTAGCTTCAGAGAACACATTGACCATGTCTTTCCTCCTTAACTTGACATTCCTGATTTGTTAAACTTGTGTTCCAGAGGTTGGTGAATGAGAGATGTCTTGTTGCAATGTTCCCAACTGTGGACATGGAAACATGTATAGAATGATAGATGGAGGGAGACAGAGGGTAGGTAAATGGGGTTTTAGCCAGCCAAGCTTGGACGCGGTTGGATTTGTGGGAGAGAGCCTGATATCGTGCTTCAGACTAAAATAATTGTCGCCGGCCGGCAGCTGTGTGAGGCTGTGAGCTCCATGACGTGCACAGCTACGGGGTTTCGGAAAAATTGCAAACAGCTACCTCTTCTCTTTTGGCGCCATAAATCAAGTCCCTGCTTTCTCAGTTGCGTTGTCGTCGTTGCTGGAGGTTGTATTGACCTATAGCTCAGGAGACATCTGATTGGATTGGTTTTAGAACTAAACCAAGGATCAAAGTATATAGCCCTGGAGGACGCATTGGAGGACATGAGACACCCTCGTTGCAATGTCCAGACGCCAAACTACAAGGCGCCAAGCTTGTATATAGCCCTGGAAAAGTTGCAGGCATCCTAACTCGCTATCCAGCAAACATGCATACCCACCTCACTTTGGCAACACAGGAGGAGATGGAGACTTGAAACAGACGAAATCTATAATTGAGAGCGACATTTCTTTCACAGCAAGGAGAGGAATATGGCTAGTATGGAATATAAGCCATAAACATCACTATCACCATTAGGATGGGTAGCAAAGTAAGGATTTTCGTCGTAAAGCAACATTTCTTTCGACTGAATAAAATCCTTCTACGTACATCATTGGACACACCATTTTGTCAGAGTGCGATTCGCATAAGAATAGGACTGGGACTCCATCCCCTAGATCACTTGGGAGTCCCTAAAACATTGGACATTGGGAGATTGCTACTCTATGCAGAACCGTTTCAGTTTTCCTGGTTGTATGTGCTAAATGACACAGGATATGTACAAACACCTCGCACAAAAACAAATGTGCAAGCGCATATCAAAACCGGACAATGACCCATATGAATTGATACATTTTGCAACCTGCTGCCATTTCATGGATAATGGTTGAAATCACTCGCACTTAGAGCAACACATGGATTATGGAGAGAGGAGCTCCTATGATGCTCAAAAAATAAGCATGTTCATACACCTCTAACAAAATTTACCGAATCTCTATCCCCTCTTGTCATTTGTGAAGACTACAGCGATGCGAGATGAACAACATTCAGCTTTTCCAGAAAAGACTCTTTCAACCCCATATCTTAGAACTCTAATGCGCACTTTGATTCACTTGTGGAATGCAAAAATGGGCCTGTTGAACCCCGTTTTACTCCCTGCCAATCCTGCAGTAAGGTCCTCCACGGATCTGAAACCAATCTGCAACAAGGTCCAAAGAGAAGCAAAAAGTGAGGCAGACACCCTTTTTACTCTGTCACTATGACGAGGTTAACATTCATTTACCTTGTCAAGTAGAATTTCCCGAAAGCTGTCTGGGGGAAACATGATGTTTCTGTAATGTTCAGCAGCAGTCTGCACATGTGCAAACCATGCTATCAGCTGGTTTATCAAACCACATCTCTTAGGAAACAATATGTTCACATCCCATCCAAAACCGAAGATTGGGGTTTACCACGATAAAAGTAGTTATCGTAGAACTGCTTTGTTCGCGAGAACAAAGAAGAAACATGTTCAAGTTTGACATGATGAAACAATTTGTAAACTTAGAACCTGCTTACTTGAAGACGAAAAACAAATACCTTGGAGACTTGGTAGTTCTTCTTATACGAATCCCAAGGCTGTGGCTCCAATATAAAAGTGCCACCCTGCTCAAGAAATAAGGAACCGCAGTGTCAATGGCTACTGGTGTAACGGTATAAAACAATCCTGTATTTTTTTTGTAAACATCAGCTTATGAGGAGAATTACAAAATACAAGATACAGGATTATGAAAGGAATACCGGGACAAGTAGTTTCCACACTTTAGAAAATAGGGTAATCAACCCATCATTTCCCCAGTTCAGGTGAATCCACTTTGCTACACTCAAACTGCAAACAATATACAACCATCTTAGGTAGACGATCACACAAGTTAATAGCTAAGCTAACAAATCTATTACTCGACAAAGTAAAATGTGGTTCACAGCAGTTGTCTTGTCTCCCAGTTTCATTGGTTTACACCTTCTTGGCTCAAACAAGGGAGGGATAACCAGATAAATTGACTACAAGATGCAGTTGTAGGAATAAAAATCAGAGCTCCAAGTCCTTACACTTTAGTAGTCGTTTCAGATATAACTCCACAAACTCTTCTGAAAATAAAAGGATACTCACCATAGAATAGTATCATACTGCTTCTCATGGGAGTGCCGACTGTCAACAAAATTTTCTTGTCTGAAGGAAACTACATCAAACAGATTTCTTGTCTCGGAAAATGATGAGTCTTTCTTGGTCTCCTTGTCATCTCTTGGTACAACATGTGCAATTAGCTTGGAAGCATTCAATTTCTCTTTGACCTCCTCCTTGAAGATCTTTGTACTACTACTCCCAGAATGCTCTCTCAAAATTTTTCTCAAGTGCCAATATGCATCAGAAATACGGGCTGCAACATAGCAAGTTTAGCTAAGTCAAGAGAACTTGTCCATCTACTCCAATTCAAGTCTTCCAGACTAAAACTTGTCTGGGACAAACAAGGATTACAAGAAATCCAATACCAAAGTCAAGAAGCAAGGAACAACTAATGGTTGAGCAGGTCCTAAATACGACTGCAATAGACTTTCAGTTAAATAAAAATTGAAAAGCACGAGAACAACTTCTGGTATGTACATAGGGAAACTTAACATAAACAAATGTTTACAACCAGGCACTAGACACGCAATTTAGGATCTTACCGGGGTCTATATCTACTCCAAGCATGCTCCGGCAGCTATACTTTTTGGCTGCAGAAGATGAACAAAAGCTCACTATCAATATGATGCAGAACGGGTAGGGTAGAAAATAACTGGAAAAAAAAGAAAAAAAAAGGCCACACACTTTCTGCCCAAAAGGTAAGGCGTACAAACAAATTTATCAAATCACTTAACATGAAAATCCCGAGTCACTTGGAAATACTTCAATATAGACAAACTGATGAGATCCAAGTTCCTATTGCTATGACGGGTATATTTCCTATAAAACTACTTATTTTACATCAAAATTCACAGAAGTTCAAGTTTCACCTGGTGTAACTGATATTGAGATAGCAGCACTCCATCAAGAACTAAAAGGAGAGAAACAGAAGTGGTAGGGCAGTCCTAAGGAACTTACACTAGTTTATGCCCTTCAACTCCAGGATTGCTTCACCAGATAACATGTTTTCCCATATTCTTCTCATCAAACTTAACCATCTAGCAACAATCTCTTCTTAACATGATCAAGAACCATCACAAAAATCAGAGACAAATCAAATCACAAACAAGATTTTGTTCAGCTCCTTGTGGAATTAGGAAACTTACCAATATGGATGGTGATGATGCCACTATTGCTGCCAATGTCGAGACAATCTTTCCCCTCAAACCCCTCCCTCTTTAAGACCTTAATCCTCGGATCTTCATTGATGACTCGATATTTGCACATGTTTTCCCCTTTGTTTCTTGATCGTTTGAGCTTTAATTATCGCGTCTTTGACCTATTTTACGCTAGGTTGTGTTCCTTTGTCATATTTCAGGTCCTAGCACATAAAGTGAAGCATAGGTGCAAGTTTCAAGTCAATCAGAGATCAATTGGCGATTAGGGAGAAAAAACTCGGGCATGACCTGAAGAAGAATGGATTTCTACCCCACTTTATGGACAAATAATCATGCAAGCTTGTCATGAAAAGAAAGAGGACGAGACTACGAGCGTCTGGGATCAAACGGCGACTGATTCGGAGTCCGGACGAGGGAGAAACGAAGCATTGAATATAGGGGAACAGGTTCGGCAGTAAAACACGGGCGCGCCTAAATCAAAACACGGCCGTGCCCATATTTAGGCATGACGTGTTTTGACCGACGCGCCCGAGCGTGTTTTTTAACACGGGCAAAATACGGGCGGGCAAAAGCAAAGCACGGCCGTGCCCGCGACCATGTTTTGCCCAGAATCGGGTTTTTTAACCCAAATTCGAGCCAAAGGAGAGGTAGAGCTGGGTTTTGGATCCCAAACACCCAAGGGACGAACCCTAGAGAGAGAGAGCGACTTGGGAACATTCTTGGAGCTATTTTGGAGGATTTCTTCACCATTGGAGCTCGGGAATCAAGCTTGGAGATGGAGATTGAAGATCTAGATCAGATTTCTGCAGTCTCTCTCTTCTCTATGGAGTAACTTCCCTTCACTTAGGTTTTGAGGAACCCTAGCCATGTTTGTTTGATTGGATGATTGTATGAGTACTCTGACTTGATAATCTTGAGTTCATATTCAATCTATGCATGTTTTCACGATTCAATTCTGCTTTAGTCGAGATTATTGATTCTGCTTTGATCCTATGAGAGCGAATACCTGATTAGGTCAATAGAGCACCATAGATTGATAGTAGTGGATCGATTGCTTTAGTCGAGGGTTGATTCACTGCTTTGTATCGATTGAGAACCTCATTCGATAAGAGGGAGTCTAGTTCAGAACGCCTTGATCGATTGTTCTAGAGAAGGATACGTCCCTCTAGGCAATTGACTCAAGAGGGCCTTGTTCCTTTAGTCGAGACTCAAGGTCTAGTCAAGGATTCTCCGCATTGTGAATGAAGTGAAACAAGTTAGAAATCATCGATCGTTAATCTGGCTAGTGGCTAGGGGGAATCATACCTAAGTGAGTTCCCAACCTGTAATTAGATTAACTTTAACTGTAGTTTGCTAGAGTAGTTTTAGTTCTTCATCTTAATCTGTTTTGCTAGATAATGAACTAAAGCTGAGTAATAGTAACTCTAGAGACCCGTGGATTCGATATTTATTACTTGAGCCACTATACTGCAGTCCCTTTCATTGGTTACACTTGGCCATTGTTAGGAGTTGTGTTTTAGCGAGTCAAGTTTTTTGGCGCCGTTGCCGGGGACGGCTAGGTTGTTGAAGAAAAGTGATTTCTGTTACTTTAGCATTTTCATTTGTTGCATTGAGTTTTTGTTTTTCCCACTTGTGCCTTCACGGGGTTTGCATTGCTTGATTGTGTGCAGATAGTGCATGACCCGTAGCCAGTCGGGAGGTTTACTGCCGTTGAATCCTGAGATTGAGCGCACTTGCAAACAGCTTCGGAGACAACAGCAAGCCTAGACTGGCTACGGTGGAGCGCCGAGACGGCCAATTGACCAGCGACTCCGAGGACGAGCACGAGATGGAAGGCGATCAGAACCCGCCTCCTCAGAACCAGATCCTGGGGAACGACCAACATCCCCAGGGAGCTGGCCACCATCATCATCCACCACCCACCGGGTCCCACCTTGGAGTACTACTATACTCCACGGATTGCTGACATCCGCCCGGTCATCCTCTATCCACCCATCCCTGCAAACAACTTCGAGATCAAAGCCATGCTGGATCCAACTCATCACTCCTCTATCCAGTTCCATGGCTTGAAGGATGAGGAAGCCCGGGTACACCTTTCCCATTTTCTGCAGCTGACGAACGGGTTCAAGCTGAATGGTGTCCGGATGATGCAATCCGCCTTCACCTCTTCCCCCATTCTCTGGCGGGGAATGCTAAGAGGTGGTTGGAGACCCAGCCCCCATTGTCCATCACCTCTTGGGACGATCTGGCTGACAAGTTCGTGCACCGGTATTATCCGGCATCGAAGACCACGGAGATACAACGGGAGATCACTCACTTCCGCCAGGAGCCAGATGAGTCCCTTCGTGATGCATGGGAGCGGTACATGGGATACTTCTGGCAGTGTCCCCCATCATGGTTTCAGCGATGCCTTCACAGTAGGGAACTTCTACAGCGCCCTCACTCCAGACAGCCAGAGGGTGATCGAGTCTCTATGCCCAGGATGGGGATATCCTTACTAAGACTCCACCCGAGCTGAACCAGATGATCAGTACCTTGGCTGCCCGAGACCATTCCTGGGGGCAGAACCACAGAGGCCAGGAACTCCCGGGACCGGGGTTTGCATGCTATGGAGGCCAGGTCCGGGTTAGAGCAGCAGATGGCTGAGTTGGTGCAGACATTGAAGCAGCCTAACGGTCTCCTTCCGGGCCGAGGTGCAGCTACGCCTCCAGTAGCTCAGTGTCAGTGGTGTGAGAGCCCGAACCACCTGGTGGAGATTGCCAGGCTATGCAGGAGTCCTCTACTCCCCAAGAACAGTTGGCCTTCATCGCCAATGCTCGGCGCCTCGATCCATACAGTAACACATACAATGAGGGGTGGCGCCAGCATCCCAACTTTGCCTGGAGCAGCAACACCAACAAACCCCCTGGGTTCCCAGCACCAGCAGGTGGTTTTCAGCAGAGGCAGCCCTTCCAGGCTAGGCAGGGGCCACCACCACAGCAGCAGCCCCCGCGCCAGTTTGCTCCGCCTCCAGCAGCCGAAGCTCCAGATAATCAGATGGCTGAATTGAAGAATATTTTGGCAGCATTCATGACCACCAGCCAGGCGAATTTAACGAGGATGGATCAGACCAACCTCACTGGAGGCAGGCCAGAAACCTGGAGGCAGGACAGAGGAACCAGGGTGCCATTCTGCAAGATTTACAGAACCAGGTTGGTGCCATAGCTCGCCAGATTACTACTCGGGCCCCGGGGACTCTACCTGCCACCACCATCCCTAATCCACGGGACCCGCAAGAGTAGCTGGGTGCCATTTTCACCAGGAGCGGCAGGCTACATCAGCTGATCCTGCCCCGACCAGGCAGGAGGAACCACTACCTGCTTCAGCACTTCCAGCCGGTGATGCAGAAGTGAGGGTGGAGAAGGAAGCCCCTGCTCCCAAGCCACAACCAGTGGTGAAGGAGCACGTACCCCAGCTTCCCTTCCCCACTCGCCTTCACAAAGACAAGCTGGAGACTGAGTTTGCCAATTTTATGGCAATGTTGAAGCAGCTCAACATCAGCGTACCATTTGTGGAGGCACTGTCGAAGATGCCCAAGTACGCTAAGTTCATGAAAGATCTCTGCACCAACAAGAAGAAACTTGGGGATCTCTCGACAGTGCTGCTGAGCGAGGAATGTTCTGCCATCCTGCAGAACAAGCTGCCCGAAAAGCGCAAGGATCCAGGGAGTTTTACTATCCCTCTTACTATTGGCAGCATGCATGTAGGAAAGTCCTTGGCGGACCTAGGAGCTAGCATTAATGTCATGCCATATAAATTGTTCAAAAAGCTAGACCTAGGTGAACTTAGCCCTACTAGGATGAGCATTCAGCTAGCTGATCGTTCCTTGGTGCATCCTAGGGGTATCATAGAGATTTGCTTGTTAATGTGGGTGCATTCACATATCCTGTTGATTTTGTTATTCTGGATATAAATGATGATGTGGATGTGCCTTTGATTCTGGGTAGACCATTTCTTGCCACCGCCAAGGCACTGATTGATGTGCATGATGGTAAACTGATCTGCGTGCTGGAAATGAACAGGCTATTTTTCCTGTGACTGAGTTTGATCATTGTGCTATGATTTCTGTATCGCCTGTGCATGCTATTTCTGATCAGGTACACGAGCCTGTCGTGTATCCTTCTGCACCTCTCATTTTGCAGGACCCGCCTATCATTCCTTCGCCGCCACTCCATCCAGTCTCGCCTCCGAACAAAAAGCTCAAGGAGGAGTGGCGGCCGAAGCCGCAGGTGGCTAAGCCTGCACGGAAGAAGGTGGAGACCACTATGAGCTGGTCCCACCCCCTGCACCACGACCACCCTGGCCATCCGAGTACTCACTCGCCTGCATCTTGCCGGATGGCCAGGTCGAGCTGACCATGCTGGTGGTTGC